TTTTGCCCATACGCATGAGTATTGTCTACAACATGTCTTCTTTGTAGCAGCTGGGCGCTGCCACCACTGTGCCTGGCTGAGGTCACCTATCTGTTGTAACCTGTAGCTTCCCTGTCACTTCTCTGGCTCTCCTCTCCTGCTAAGCTTTGTTTCCTGGAAGTGTTTAAAACCTTCTGCCACTGCCACAGCTACTGCTGCTGCTGGAGCCACCACAGCCACCTTGATTTCGTGGTTTGGTAAAATACCGGCCTCCACCACCGAAGGGCCCAGAGCTTCTGCCTCCAAAGTTTCCTCCCTTCATGGGTCCAAAATTCGAAGACTGACTGTTGAAATTGCCAAATTCATTATAGCTTCCACCACCTCCATAATTGCTTCCATCATTACCAAATCCATTGTAGCCATCTCCACTGCCACCATATCCACCCCCACCACGGCTGCCACCAAAGCCACCTCTACCACTGAAGTTTCCTCCGCGACCGAACCATTGCCACGGAAACCTCCTCCACAACCACCACCAAAGTTTCCAGAACCACCTCGACCTCTTTGGCTAGATGAAGCACTAGCCATCTCCTGCTTGGACAGGGCTTTCCTCACTTCACAGTTGTGGCCGTTCACAGTATGGTATTTTTGATTGACAATCTTATCCACAGAGTCATGGTCATCAAAGGTTACCAAAGCAAAGCCTCTCTTTTATCCACTGCCTCGGTCAGTCATAATTTCAATCACTTTGATTTTTCCATATTGTTCAAAATAATCTGATAAGTGATGTTTTTCAGTATCTTCTTTAATGCCACCAACAAAGATCTTCTTCACCGCTAGTGGGCACCTGGTCTTTGAGCACCTTCTCTTGAGACAGCTCTCCTTGGTTCCACAACTCTTCCATCCACTTCGTGTGGCCTTGCATTCATGGCTGCATCCACCTCCTCCGCAGTGGCATAAGTGACAAACCCAAAACCCCTGGAACGCTTGGTGTTCGGGTCCGTCATTACCACGCAGGCTGAGTGTTCCCCACTGCTCAACATGGCTCCTCAGACTCTCCTGAGTTGTTCCACAGCTCAGCCCTCCGATGAAGAGCTTCCGCAGCTGTTCTGGCTCCTTGGGAGACTCTGACTTAGACGTCACGGCAGTAGGAAGAGAGCCTGACGATGCTTCCTCCGCGGTGTCCACCAGCAGAAAGGCTCTATTTTCCTCTTAACTTTGTTTTTTCCTCCTTTTTGGTTTGTTCTTTCCTGTCACTTTTATCTAAGTATATTAATTTCCTTTAACTCCTTCAAGGGACCCTTTATCTCACTTTGTTCTCCTCTGTCTCATCTTCCATTGATTAACTTTTCCAATTAACTAAACAGATAATAGACATAAGAAAATAATCAGTGAGTTTACAGAAGACCCCATTAAAAAGCTTGATGAGCTTAACAAAATGATTTTTTTTTTTTTTTTTTTTGCGGTACTGGGGATTGAACTCAGGACCCTGCGCTTGCCAGGCAAGTACTTATTCTACTAAGCTATCTCCCCATCCTCTCAAAATGATTTCCAAGAAATGACTATTTTAGCAACAAATTAAGAGTCAATGAACAGGAACCAACCAGAAATCCAAGAGATAGAAAGTTCTATTCAAAAGTGAAGAATGCCAGACAGAGTAGCAGAACCAGATGACAACGCTGATCTGGCTAAAGTGACCAATTATTCAGAGATACTTTAGAAACAGTAAGAAGTCATGAAAGTGGATCCAACAGCTACTAGACGACACAAAGACTAAGATTAACTGAAATTAGTGAAAAATGAGAAAACAACACAAATCATAAAAAGCCTGTTTACGGAAATAGCAGAAAACTTTTCAAACATAGGGAAAGAACTAGACAAACTGGCAAGTAAGGTATATAAAACTCCAAGTAGCTACAATCAGAAAAGAACTTCTTGTAACCCATCATAGTCAAAATCCTTAAAGAGCAACACAAGAACAGAATCTTAAAAGTTGTTGGAAAAAAGCAACAAATTAGCTATAAAGATCAGTTCTCAGAATAACAGCAGACTTCACAATACATACCTAAAATGGCCAGAAGGGACTGAAGTGTTTCAAACCCTTAAAGAAGACAACCTCCATCACACACTGACATACCCTGCAAAACTACCTTTCAAAACTGGTGGAGAAATAAGGTCTTTCTGTGACAATCAGCACCTTAGGAAACCAAAGAATTTTCAAGACTACCCTAGAGGAACCAGGGAGATGGCTCAATGGAATAAGTGCTTTCCTGGCAACTGCAAGGGCCTGAGTTCAATCCCTGGTTCCGCCAAAAAAAAAAAAAAAAAAAAAAAAAAAAAAAAAGACTATCCTAGAAAGAGACAAGGAAGGTAACAAGACCCAAAAGACTAACCAAATGAACACACAAGGGAGGGCGAGCATTTAAGCAGAAGCAATAGGAAAATAATAAAATGAGGGGCCAGGGAGAGCTGGCAAGAGAGAAGTACTGAGTTCAATCCCTAGTGCCACAAAAAAAAAAAAAAGAAGTAATGCAATGAAAGGAATATGTCATTGAGAACAACTCTCAACGTGAACGGTCTCAATTCCCCATTCAAGGACACAGACAGAACAGACCATGGAAAAAGAACCCATTGGTACGCTGCATACAAGAAAAACATTTAACCCAAAGAGAAATTTATAGAGTAAAATTAATGTAACAGGGACCCAAAAGCAAATAGAAATGGCCACCCCTTTTCAGACAAAGTGGTCTACAATCCAAAACTGATCAGAAGAGGCAAAGGTCACCACATATTGGTGAAAGAAACAATCCAACAGGAAAAGATAACAATTAAAAACATGACTGAACACTGGCACACCCAACTTCATAAAGCAAATACTATGGAGTGCAAAAGACCAGAGCAACAACACAAATAGAGTGGGGGCCTCAACACCACACTGGCAGAAGTAGATCAACTAGATTTAAAAATATCAACAAAAAATACTGGAGTTGAACCACACCTTGGGACAAATGGCCTTAACAGATATCTAGTGTTCCACCCAACCATAGAATACACAGTCTTTTTAGCAGCACATGGGACTTTCTCCAAAACCGACCACACGCTGCCCATAAAGCATACTTAAGATAATATAAAAGAACCCAAATTACCCGTGCGCTTTGATAATACGTGCAGTGCACTGAAACTAAAACAAAAATCAATGGCAAAGAAACCACAGAAATTGCAGAGACACGCGGATACGAAGCAATACGCTCTGAATCAGTGGGTCACAAAAGAAATCAAGGAAGGAATTAGCTGCTGCAATTAAACACTAATGTCAGTACAACACTAGAGTCCATGGGACACAGCAGTCCTAAAAGAACTGGCGTTTATAGTTGCAAACGCCAACATCCAAAACACAAAGAGAGCCCAAATAAAAACCTAAAGATGCACTACACTTCAAGGCCCTAGAACAACAAAGGAAAGCCAAATTCAAAGCCAGTACAAGGAAGGAAACACAGAAGATCAGCACAGCCTGGCGTGGTGGCGCACACCTGTAATCCCAGCACTGGAGAGGCTGAGGCAGGAGGATCCCTGTGAATCTGAGGCCAGCCTGGGCTACCAAGGGAACTCAAGGCCAACCTGAATGGCATGGTTTATGTTTTAAAAACACAAAATAAAGATCAGAGCAAAAATTACTACAATTGAAACTAAAGCAAACAATATATATATATATATATATATATATAGAGCAAAACAAAAAATAAGTAATAAGAAAGATGACATATCGTTTGTAAAAAGGGAAAGGACCAAAGGAGGGACGGAGGGGGAAGGGGACACTGAAAAGAATTAAGCTGTGTGCCTGCACCACTCCCCACAAGGAACAAATCATCCTCTGCTCCCAATGTGTACTAGCAAAAAAAAAAAACAAAAACCTGAAAGACTTAAGAGAGGCTTGGAGACCCCTCCAAAAGCGCCATGGGTTCCAGAGCTTCCAGCTCCCAGGGAGTGAGGGCGCGCAGGAAAGCACAGAGGCTGCTTTCAGGAGCCGAGCAGGGGCGCAAGGCCTCGGCAGCTGCCTCTGGAGCCTGCAGCCAGCCGGTACTCACTCCTCCTTCCACTGCCACACTGCCCTGAGGAATTCCTCCCGGCCCAGCTCGTGTCGCCTCACTCCCCGCTCCTTCCACAGCTGCTTCTCCACCACAGCCTGCAGGAAGACCAGGAGCCAATGCACAGCATGTCAGGCTGCTTCTGGAAGAAAATACACTGTCAGCCAACCGTAGGACAATGCGAGAAAAGACCCACCTGTGTAGCAATTCCTGCGTGATCTGAGCCAGGGACCCACAGCACTTGATCCCCTCGCATCCGGTGCCTACAACAGAGATGCTTCTCGTGAGCCCTCGAGCCCACGGGCCTACCCTCGCCCACACCCACACTTTCTACCTCCCCTCCAAGGGCTGCAGCAGCCCCCAGCCCCTACCAGCGCACAAGGGCATCCTGGATGGCCACGGTGAGGGCATGGCCGAGGTGCAGGGAACCCGTGACATTGGGCGGTGGGATGCACATGGAAAAGGTCTCCCCAGTAGCCTGGGGCAGCCGTGCCTAGAAGGAACAAGGAAAGTCCCAAGGCAAGAGAAGACTGGGGAGACAGCACCCTCTGGTGCCTCCAAGACATTCAGAACTTCAAGGAATGACCAAATCGCTCAGTGGGTTACAGCACCTGCAAGCAGGTGCAGGGACTGGGGTTCAATCCCCTGGCCTGCCACGCCTGCCCACCCCCGGGGGGCACACTGACACAGCAACTGAGACTGGGTGTGGTAGCACACACCTATAATTCCAGTTTTGGGGAGGTTCTAAACAGGAGAATCACTAGAGTCCAATCTAGTAGTGAGACCCTGAACACCCTGTAGACCCTTCCCTAAAATACAAAACAAACAACAAAACCCCACGGAACTTCAAGGAAGAATCCTCGGCAAGTGACAGAAAAATGAATGAGAAGAAAGATTTGTACTAATAGTATCTGGACAGGGTATCATGTCTGCATCCTTTACTACAAATAACCCCTACGAAGATAACAATATGCAATGTATTAGTTATTGAAACTGTCCTATTAATCGCTTCTGAAACTGTCTCATTGTTGTTTCTCAATAAAATTAAAAATAAAGTAACAGAAAAATGGTGGAGTTCGGGATCACCAAGAGACATATTTTTTGTGTGCGGCAGAACCAGAGATTGAACTCAGGCCCTCGCGCTTGCCAGGGAAGCACTTATTCTACTGAGCCATCTCCCTGGCCCCCAAGAGACATCTGTGCAGAGGCCACTGGCCAGAGACGAGCTCTGCAACGTGCATGAGCCTGACTCCAAGGCTCGGTGTGCCCACACAGTACCCTCTCTGCAGGCCCCACTGACCTGATACTCTGGTTTGAAGAAGCCCTCTTGCACCCACCACTGGTACCAAGCAGCTTCCACATACCGGGGGCTGTAAGCAGGAGGCAGCGGCCCAGAGATATCTGTGCAAATAGAGGGACAGCTCCACTAAGTACTGGCCTTTGTTCCACAATGCATCTCAGCAAATCAAGGGGGCAACAAAAATCAGAAGCCTTCAGGTTCCCTGGTTACCTTTCTTGTCACCAGGTCCTGTAGGAATGTCATATAACACGACCTCCTTAAGACTCCAGGCCTTCCTGGCTTCTGCGGGTGACTTTGGGGAAGGGAAAAAACCGAGGCTTGAGCGTCCCCACACCCCTTCCGTCGGGCTCTCCACCCGTCCCGTCCCCCACCCCCAGTCTCAGGCCCAAGGCTGAGCTGTCCCACCCCAACCTTGCTCTTCCCGACAATCCCAGCCTGCAGTGCCGCCTGCTTCTCCCGCAGGCGCTTCTGTTTGGCTTCTCGGTTCCTGCGGGAGGTCTGTGAGCCATGAGGCTGTGACTGTATAGAAAGGGGCTGAAGTCTGGTTAGGCTCGGCGAGGACCTCGGCCCCTGAAAGGGCGTTCGAAGAAGCGTGGCCAGAGGTAAATGAGGCATCAGGAGTGTGTGGGAAGAGGGCACGATCTGTTCCGGAGGGACAGCACGTTAGAACAAGGACGTGCAGGGGCACCACACCCCCAAACCACTTCTTTCATTCCCCGCTACCTGCCAGCACTGGCCTGAACCCAGATCCCTGCACCCTCCCTCCTGCAGGCCTGAAGCGCTTGGTGCGGACAAGCGCAGCACCCTCGAGTCACAGGCACCGGGCGCTTCTGCCCCTGCGCCGCGGCCCGCGGACACCAGAGGGCACAGGAGCCGGCGCCGGGCCAGACGGACGAGAAGCACCGAGGGCCGGCACGGGCCCACCTGGCGCGACCGCCGCGCCCCGGGCATCCCGCCAGCCCCACCGCGACCCCCCACCTCCAGGAAGCTGCGGGCGCGCGCCCCGACTTCTACCCGCCGCTAACCCAGGGCCCGGCGGCGGCGCGGCGCGGACGCAGGCCCAGAACGTGGCCGGCGACGGCGTAAGGAGGCGGGGCCAGCCAGGCGCAGGCGCAGTAGCCGCGGCGCGCGGAGAACAGGAGGCTGCAGGGGACGGGGCGGGGTGGGGCGGGGCGCGGGGGGAGGGGAGGGGGCGGGGCGGGGCGGCACCCAGGCGTGCAGTGTTTCCACAACTTTATTCAACAAAAAGCATCTTGCAGTATAAATTAAAGGCACCCGAGCCGTGAGTCACGCACGCGGCCGGCCCGCGACCCCCGCCCCCGCCGTCCGTCCAGGCCCACCCCGCACGGTCAGGCGCTGTGCTTCTGCCGCTTCCAGAAGCGCTTGACGTCGCTGTGCCCGGCCGGGGTCACCACCATGAGCCGCTTGGCCGAGTTCTCGAAGAGCAGCACGCCCAGCTCCCGCGCGTGGGCCAGCAGCAGCTCGAAGTCCACTTGCGACAGGAACTGGTTGTACAGCACGCCTGGCCGCGGGGAGCGCGGGCCTCAGCACGCTGTGGCTGCCGGCCGCCCGCGCGTCTGCCTGCCCGGCTCCCCGCCGCTCCCTCGGAGCCACCCCCGAGGGCGCCGCGGGGACAGCGCGCCGTGCTCCCGTCCACCCGAAGTAAAGCCTCTGTCTCCGCGCGGCGTCCTCCGCCCCACCTGCCCGCCCTGCCCTGCCCTGCCCTGCCTCCGCGCGGCAGGGCCCGAACCCTCACCCTCCGTGAAGCGGAGTCTGTCGCGCTCCAGCTCCCACAGCCGGATCTGGTCGGTGATGGTGGGCGGCAGCACGGGCGTCTGCAGGGCAGGGAGGCTCTGGGGCTCGGGAAGCGCCACGCCCGGGCCGCCCCACCCACGGGCGGACGCGCACCTGTGCATACCTGTTTGAGCATCACCGGGTGCGCCCTGGTCCGCAGGAAATGGATTATCTGGGGAGACAGGAGCATGGAGCCCCGAGGGCCTGCTCGCCCGCCTGCCAGCTCCTTCTCCAGCACACTTCCCTTCCCATCACTCTCTTCCTTCTCTGAGTAGCCGCAGCCACCCGAGCACTCCCTGGCTGCGCTCATCTCCCTCGAAGCTTCCAGGAATCCTCCAACACTCCTGCGGGCTGGGGCCCGCCCTTGGCCGTGCAGAAGAGGCCGGGCAAGCCGGCTCGTTCTGCGGCTGGGGATCTCGGGGCAGGGGCGCAGCCAGAGCTGTGCCGCTTCCTGCGGGCATTTTCCCTGGCGCGCGTCCCTCAACAGCTGCGTGTGTTCTCTACCTTTCCCACACCTCTTCCTCACGTGCCTACTGCTCAGACAGTGTGTGACTACTGTGCCAGCCCCCACAGGGGCCACTGTGCGACGGCAGCCCAGGCCCGCACCCCCACCTCCAGGGTGATACCTGCTGGGCCGTGATGCCACTGGCAATGGCCTGCTGCACGCTCTCCCGGGTCACCTGTGCCACCACCATGTTGGGGAAGCGGTAGAGCATCTCAGAAAAGAGAGCAATGAGGGCGATCTGCAGCTCCGACTCTGGTGTGGGTGTGGGAGAGAGAGGAGGCTGCCCCACAGCTCAGTGGGCGGAGAGCTGTCAGACGTCCAGGAACACAAGCAGCATCCCCCGCTTCTCTCCCCCTTTCCGCCGGCCAGCCTCACCCGTGTAGGCATACAGGCGGTAGTTGGTTTCCACTACGATGAAGCCAGGCTGATGCACAGTGCCCCCGGCCCCAGAGACACCAGACGAAAGGTTGATGGCCAGGCGGGTGGGGTAGTAACGCCGAGATTTCCTCTAGGAAGGAAAAGGCAAAGACAGACCTCTCTTAGGCGCCCTACGTTGTCCTGCCTGGGCAATTGGATCCCTCCCAGCACACAGACCCCAACCCTCAACTTCCTGCCCCACAGGATGAGGGCTCGGCCCTGGCAACTGCCCTGTGCTCCGGTCCCAAGCCAGGCATCTGGGCCCTCATACCTTCCTCTGGAAAACAAGCCCGAACTCACGCAGATGTTGCAGGAAGTTCAATAGAGAATCACTCATTCCTTCCACAGAGTAATCCTGGGGAAGAGAAGCCAACTGGGGTCCACACAATACCTGGCCACCTCCTCCCTAGGGTCCCCACACCCATTCCCTCCTTCCCTTTCTCCGCTTGCTTTGTGGCCCCTCTTACCCTGCCCGACTCCCCATCCTTCCCTGTCCTCAAGTCCCTGCTCACCTTGCCCAGAGTAGAAAAGCTGAGTTGGAAGAGGAAGGAGAGGATCTCTACCAAGTCCATGCCCCGGCTCTGGGGAAAGAGGAAAGCCGAAGGGAGAGATGGGACAGAGCGAACGCAGGAGTGGGGCAGGAAACAGAGCCCTTGCGGTGGGAGCTGAGAGGAGCGGGGCACACTGGCGAAGGGCCTGGCCTCCTCACCTGGGCTGTTTGCAGATACTGCAACATGAAGTACCAGAGCTGGGCAGACGTATCCAGCAGCAGGAACTGGAAGCCGGCGGAGGTGATGCAGGGGGGCTCCCCGGGTTCAGTGCTGGAGACAGAGAAAGACGATGGCGGAGATGAGCAGAGAAACATCACCATCCCACCCATCTCTTTTTTTAGGGAAGGGTCTACAGGGTGTTCAGGGTCTCACTACTAGATCTGAGTCATAGTAATCTGTTTATAGCCTCCCAAGAAGTGGGATTACAGGCACACGCCACCACACCCAGTCTCAACTGCCCGCTCAGTGCACCCTGGGGGCGGGGCCGGCAGGCAAGCCAGGGATCCAACCCCTAGCCCCTGTGCCTGCTTGCAGGCGCTTTAATCTGCTGAGCTATTTGACAGGCCCTTCCAGTCTCACTTTTTGTATTCCCCACCATCCTAAGTTGTCCCCAAACACCCAGTCTGGTTTTGCTGTTGGGTGTGGTGCTGGGATCAACCCCAGGCTCCAGTATCTGGTAGGTAAGAACTCTGGCACTGAGCCCCAGGCCAGGAAGCCTCGGCCTGCTATGGCTCAGGCCTCCTCACCTCTTCATGAGCCCGGCCTGGCTGAGGAGCTGAGCCAAATCCTGGCTGACAGCCGCACTGGGGGAGCCCACCATGAAGTGCAAGACCACCTAGGAACAGAAGCAGAGGAAAGGAGTCCACTGCGGGCTGCGGGGGAGCAGGGGAGCTGACATGCACAGAACCCCATTCTTACCTCCCATCGCTCCTCGGCGTACTTGTCCAGTGAGGGAACATCTCGGGCATGCTTGTCCGGCCCTAGCTGACTTGTGTCATCAGACCAGGCCTTGCCCCTATGGCCAGCACAGGCCCAGGGTAAGTGTGTCTGTTCCCCATTGCCCCTTGGTCCTTCCTACCTTTACCCCATGAGTGGGACACATTTCCTACAGCCTGCAGCCACATCTGGTCTGACTTATTCCTGACAAAGTGGGGACCTAAGGTTCCGGGGAGGCCCTTAGGAGCTTCCACTCCTGTGGTTGATTTATTAGTTCCCCAGCTTAGTGTAGGAAGAGATGGAAGCAACATACCCACCCAGAAGGGCAATGCGGAGGTTCTGGCGGAAGATGGGGTTGAGGATGAGGCCCTGGAGACCACCAGGGAGCAGCTGGGTGTGCCAGATCCGGAGGCCACTTAGCAGCCCTGTGCTTTCTTCCTGAGCCCTGGAATAGCAGAGGATGAGCAGCAAAAAAAGAGGAAGCCCAGGAGCCTCCATTTCCGCCTTTTCTAAGCCTTAATCCTGAGAACAGCCTCCCAGGGTCAGAGCACATCTTCTTCAAACAAATGTCTTTACAGCACCCCTAGCAGATCCTCATTATAGATGGGACATCACAACTCTCCAAGAGGGAAAAGTTTCCCAGTGTATTCCATTTAAGCTCTTTACCAGGCGTATTATTCAGTTCAAACACCCATCAACATTTCCTGCAGAGTTAAGGTGTATGCAGCGCTACAGCATGTGCTCAGCAGATATCACAGGGCCATATGTTTGATCCCAGCACCACCCACTGGGGGGAAAAATCCACACACACACACACTTTTCTGGAAGCATTCCAAGGAAGAGCATGTCAGGGAGCCCAGCAACTGAAAATCCACATCCAGCTGAGAACGCAGGACAGACTCACTTGCTGAATTCCTTCTTCACCCACAGGGCTACGGCAGCTTGAGGCAAAGGCTGCTCCAGAAATAGCATCCGCATCACCCAGTTCTTAGCCAAAGGTGGGAGCTCCCTACAGGAGGAGGAGGCCAACGATTAATATCAACAGCCCCTCCATACCTGCAGCTTTGCCCTCGGGTACCTCGGAACATCTCATCCCACGCCCACACCGTTACCCGCCCTGCTGCCCCACAAGACCCCATCCCGGCCGCGAAGCTTCCACTCCTGATCCCTGACGCGGTCCGCAGCTCCTGTGACTTTCCCAGCAGTCCCCGCTGGGAGACCCACCCCTCACCTGAAGACAGCCAGACACGTGGCAGGGTGGCCATACAGACGGTCCAGCACGCCGGGGCTCAGGCTCCCCAGGAATTCCTGCAGATTGCGGCACTGTAGGTGCACTCGGCTCAGCCCAGCCCGCGGAGGGGCGCTCTCCATCACCTGGGCGACGCTGCTGTTACGGCCGGCAGTGCGAGCCCAATCTGTCCTCCGGCCGCATCCCGCGGCCCCGCGGTAAGCCTCGTCCCCTCCCCGTTCTCGCAGACCTCGCCGGCTTCCCCTCCCTTCCCGCTTCCTCGTCTCAATCCTCCTCTCAAATGGTTTCTCAGTGTCCAAGTGACAGAAGTGTTCGCGGTCCTCCACCTGCCGGCCCGCCTCCTGGCACCGCGCGCCGCCGAGCCGGGCCCCTCCCGCCCGGGCCTGCCAGCCTCCGGCCCGCACCGCGTCTGCCACGCTTCCCAGGGCGTCCCCGCCCGGGTCTCCTGCCCTCCCGGGGGGCCCACAGCGTCCGACCTCCCCCGCACCTCGACCCCCTCCTCACTTCGCCGCCGCTCGCCTCCCGCTCCGCGCCCGGCCAGCACCGGCTCTCACACGCCCTCCGGGGTCTCCTCAGCCCTCCGTGTCGATCCCGGTCAAGCACCCCAGGTCTCGAGCCGTCCAATAGGAGCCAATGTGTCTCTCTGGCTCCAGAGATGAAGGATAGTGGGAAATACGACAAAAAGTTGGGAAAGCGAGGAAGGATTTTACAGACCGGAGCCCTGTGAAGAAAGGGAAAGGAAGAAGTCAAGTGAGGAGATGAGGGGCGGTGCTACACTTTCCCGCCGCGATGCATACTGGGAATTGGAGTCCTCTCCGCGCCCGCCCTGGAGCAGGCTGCTGTGTGTATGACTACAATTCCCGAAAGGCATCGCGAGGATCGTGGGAGCCGAGAGCCGGGTTTTCATTCATTGAGCCCCGGACACCAAAAGCCCGGCTATTTTGGTTCCGCTGTGCCCTCTGACCTCGCAGCTAACGGCTACTTAAACTGGCTAGGGCAGCGGGCGGACCAGAGAGTGAAAGTGCCCGAGGGTTTTGGGTTCCTGAAGCTCAGCTGTTGCCCCATAGAATTGGGGCGACGCACACTGCAGAGCGTTTCCACCTGTTAAGGATGGACAAACCCTGGGCGCCTTCCGTGACAGCACCAGACAGATTTCCCTCCTGCCACCCCCACGGTTCCATGTAAGACTCAAATGCAGAGTTTATTTGCATGCTTATATCTGGTAATCTAAACAACTAACTTGAAGACAACATTATGCAAGGTAACAACCATTGTCGGACTGCGGTTCTACCCCCCCATCCCTAGCACCGCTTGCCGTGCCGCCTCCGCCCTCCAGGGGGCGCTAAACCAGCCACGGAGTCCAGATGTACTGGTGCAGCCCGCCTGTAATCCCAGCGCCCGGGAGGCTGACAACAGGAGGATCCTCTGACTCTGAGCTGTGTAGTGAAACGCTGTAACAGCCAAATACATTTTTTAAAAAGTTTTTTTTTTAATTGCAATGTTTAAAAGAAATGAATTGTTTGCTCTGATTTGACTTAAGAATTACTCAGAGAAAGTCAAGGGAAACTCTTCAGCCAAGCCTGGAGTTAAACGCATCCCCCAAACTATTTTTTTAATAGATATTTGTTCACTTTTGGATATTCTTTATTCTAAGATTTTTTTAAATGATTTATTTATTTACTTGGTACAGGGTCTTGCTATGCAGTTCAGACTCGTAGTGATCCACCTGTCTCAGCCTCCCCAGTGCTGGGATTACAGGCGTGCTCGGCCACACAGGGTTGATGGCCAGCCTGGTGCTGGGCCGGCATGGCAGTGGTACCGGGAATGAAACCCGGGTCCTTGTGCTTGCCAGGCAGACACTCAGATGGCCGTGCTACCTCCCTGGCCACCCCACCCCCACCACCAAATTCTTGAAAGCAAACTGTTTTGCTCACCGCTAGACCAGGAGGGACTGAGAAGTTCGGCCGTGATAAGACAGAGGTGTCCAGGCTGGGTGGGGCAGGATTGCTGGAGACCTACATGGAGGGGCTGCACGAGACTTTGTCACCTCGAAGCTCACCTGTGTTTTGTTGTTCTCTGTCTTTTTACCAACCAGTGTTTAAAATTATTTGAGCACAGCACAAAACTGACAAAGCTTAGTTGTGGCAACAGATAAGGTTAAAAAGACAAACCACAAACCACAACTTGGGAAGAAATGTTTCATAAAGACAAAATGCTAACAGCTTTTGCAGAGCAGCGTAAGAAAAAGAAACTTAGTAGATTAGCAAGAGAAACAAGCGATCAGGCCAGAGATATAGCTCAGCAGAATAAACACCTGCCTGGCAAGTGCAAGGTCCTGAGTTCAACCCCCAGGCACCCCCTGCCCCCACCCCTCGCCAAAAAAAAAAAGAATAAATAACAAAAAATTTAAATGTCTTAAGGGGATGAAATGACTATAAACTTCATTTGAAACTAAAAAAAAAGGGCTGGGGAGATGGCTCAGTGGATATGTGCTTCCCTGGCAAGCACAAGGGCCTGAGTTCAATCCCCAGTTCTGCTAAAAAATAAATAAATAAAAACAAAATTTTTTAAATGAAAGTAAAAAAAATAAGTTAAAGAAATAAAAAATAGAAGAAATTTATAAAAGGTAAGCAAAATAAGAGCTTGGCATCCTGTGCTGGCTGGGTGTGGAGCGTGCTCAGCGCTTGCTGTAGCCATTGGTTCCTAAGGCTCCTTCTGGGAGACCCGAAGTGGAAACCAGCTCTACCCCAGCCACAGTTTTTCAGGTACCTACAGACAACTGAACATTAAATAGAAAATTCTGAAAGTCAGGAACTGCAAATAACTGCATTAGAGTATATTATTATAGTTGCTTCATTCATTACTAATTATCTCTTACTCTGCCTAATTTTTTTTTATTTATTTATGTGTGTGTGTGTGTGTGTGTGTGTGGCCAGCTCAGCCCACCAGGGGGCGGGTCTGGCTGGCATGTGGCGCTGGGGATTGAACCACGGTCCCTGTGCTTTGCTGAGCTTGTTCTAAGTAGGTGCTTTAGACCACTGAGCCATCTCACCAGCCCCACTCTGCCTAATTTTTAAGTTCCACTTTGTCAGCACACACACACACACACAAAGCGCGCGCACAGAGTGCTAGCCCTAACAATCTTAAGTTGATTCTCCTTTAACATAGCAGCTCCACCTTTGAAAACGTATCATACTGGAATTCTCCCACCAGGGTAGAGAAATATGTATGCAAAGATGTTTATTGAACATCTGTTTTTGTTGTGTTATGTTAAAACACGAATGTGTAACCCTGGGGACTTGTTAGGTAATGTGTGGGTCGTTGAGCTACCTATGATCAAGCAACAGGGAGAGAAAAGCGAATTACAAAATGGCATATATGGCCCAATGGCATCATTGTGAAAAACTTTTTTGTTGTCTCTTTTTTTAATTTTATGTATTGGATACAGGGTCTCACTATGCAGCTGAGACTTGTAGAGATCCTCCTGTTTCAGCCTCTTCAGCACTGGGATTACAGGTGTGGCCACCATGCCTGGTCTTGGTGGCCAGCTTGGCGCACCCGGGATGGGGCTGGCATGCTTATGTGGTACCAGGGGTCAGACCCAGGTCCTTGCACTTGCCTAGACAGGCGCTTAGACACTGAGCTATCTCCGAAACCCTTTATCTTTTTGAGACGGCACTTCACTGTGAGTTCAGGTTGGCCTTGAACTCATGACAACACTCCTGCCCTGGCCTCCAGAGTACTGGGATTACCATTACAGACAGCCATGTATCTTCACACTTGACTTTGGAAGAAACTTCTGTGTCTTAGCACTTGGAAGAGGCCATATCCTTCACGTGGAAGAGAGCGGCACGGGGGAGCTGGGCGCCTGTCACAGTTCCCTGCACACTAAAGCAGCAACATTACCGAAGCACAACCCCAAACCGACTGATTTATGGCTAAGTGCCAGCCCTGCAGCCACCCTGCTGCCAGCCGGCCGTGCCCAAGTTCCCAGGAGTCACAGTGAATGAGTTGCAGCTGGTGACGTATCACCAGAACCCCGCCCCCTTTCCCAGCCCCCGTGCCGTCCCCTGTGCACTGTGGCCGATGCCGGGCTGCTGGGCCCCCTGGCTCATTCAGGCGCCGAGAGGGCAGCACGTGCCGACGGCTCCCCTTAACTGCGGTAAAGGCTGTGTGTGTGGCATGGCAGCTGCTAACCCCTGCTATTTAAATCAAAATGAACCAAAGTCCTCCCCGCAGTCCCACCGGCCGAATTTCAAATGCTCAGCAGCTCAGAGCACGCAGAGGTAACATCGTTTCCCTCGGCGCAGTTCTGGCTCCCATTCTGTCAGCTGCCGTGACGACAGCAATCTGCCTTACTGCAGGGCTGAGCCTCTGAGGAACAGGAGTTCCTGAACTCTCCACGGGAGGCAGCCAGGCAAAGTGGCCGAGCGTGAGGAGAGCACCCCTCTTCTCAAGCCGGAGCATGTGCCCGACCACCTCCAGAGCTGCCTCAAGTGGGCACTTTGCTGAGTCCGGTTCCTGAGTCTGAGCATCTCACGTCTGCAGGGTACCACCATGCTGGCCAACACAGGCAGTGGTGACGGCAGAAAGAGAAGGACGACTGGGATGGGGCCAGAGGAAGGGGCAGGAGGTAGATCTAACCCAAACCCCCCAAAACCCACTGACACCTGTGGAAAACTCAACCTTTATTACCTGCCTACCGCAGGGGATTAAAATTGCCTCAAGCTAGGTCCATATATTAGTGTAAAAATCTGTGTCTCTCCCCCCAAAAATGTACAAACCCCAAGTGATTATAGAAAAACCAACGTGGTAGCTACAACAGAGATGTCCAACCCCACCGCCACAGGCCTCTGCTCCCTCTCTCCCTCTAACCCCAATATTTACTCCACAGAAATGTACAGGCACAGGGAAATCCTAGTTACAGCACGGCAGGTGGGAAGTGGGGCTGCCCAAGGATCGGAGGAAGGGCAGGGAGCGCCCCCAGGTCCAGTGTGTCCAGTTCCAGGGATATGCACCAGGGACATCTTTTGCCCCGCATGTCCTCCTCCCCCCAGCTCCCAGCTGGCAGAGTCCAGTGTATGACAAGAAGAGGAGGTGGGGCAGAGCCCCCTCCCCAGGGGCCAGTGTCATCCAGTGAGGCCTGGCGCTGCAGTGGGCCACTCCAGTGTTTGCCCTGCACTTGCTCTCCCCCAGGGATGGCTGTCAGAAGTCAGAGAAGATCCCGTCCTCAGGGCCAGCCGGGTGGGCGGCAAGGGCTTCCAGGAAGGAGGCAGGTGGAGGATGGGGAAGGGGATGCGAGCTTGCCTCCAGGTTGGGCGCCCCCACCTCACTGCCTCTCAGACGGGCTGTGGGAGGGGCAGGGCTGGCTCCCCCAGCATCACTGGCGGCCTCAGGCCTCTCCCAGAGCTACACCGTGTTGACTGCGTCCTCTGCCAGGAAGCGGTGCAGCTGGGGGAAGGGCGGCCTCTGCTCAGGCTCCCTGCTCCAGCACTGCAGCATCAGCTCATACAAGCCCTGGGGGCAGGCGGGCGGCCGCGACAGGTACACCTGCAGGGGGGGGACCCCTTCAGGCTCCGGCGGAAGGCCCGCCCCCAGCCTCCCCCGCAGGGCCCAGTGCCCTCCTCTGCTCTGACCTGCCGGCCCTGGTCCCGGAAGAACTCCCCAGCGTTCTCGATGACTTGCTCGTCGGTGAGCTGCCCGAAGGGCTGGGCCCGGCAGAGCATCAGCACCTCCCAGAGGGTCACCCCGAACGCCCACACATCACTCGCTGTGGTGAACTTGCCCTGGCACAGAGCGGGCGACAGAGGCGAGACGGACATAGGGCAAGCCTCCCTCCTGAGCAGCCCTTCCCCGCTGCCTCCCCTCTGCAGCTCTGGTCCAGTCCCCTGCTGCCCTCCACCTCCTGGTCCTGGCATGCCCCCCAGCCCTCCCTCTCAACTTGCTGCCGCCCCCCAGCTCTCCACCTCCCGAATCCTCCCCACCCCCACTCCAGGCTCTCGGACCACTCATCACCCACTCTGTTTTTCTGGGCCCAGGTCACAGGAACCCCCCAGTCACAGGTGGGAGACGCCAGCTGGGAAGAGCAGCACCTTGGCACCGGCCCCGCCCGGCTCTCACCATGAGGATGCACTCCCAGGCCATCCACCGGATGGGCAGCACTGCCCGGCCCTGCACGCGGTAGTAATCTCCAGCATAGAGGTTCCGGCTCATGCCGAAATCGGCAATTTTGATGGTGAAATTCTCCCCGACCAAGCAGTTTCGGGTGGCCAGGTCACGGTGCACAAAGTTGAGTGTGGCGAGGTAGCGCATGCCCGAGGCTATCTGGGCGGCCACGTGCAACAGCATGGGGTAGCTGTGGAAGGGAGCCACCAGCAGGGTCATGGGGGGCCCGGCTCTCTCCCCCAGGCCAGGCCACATGCTCCACTCCCTCCCTCCAGCTGAATCTATGTTTCTTGGGCTCCACCCTTGGCCTCCAGTGAGAGCGACCCTGGGACAGGGGAGTCATGGAGGGCTCCCGCCCTCTCCAGCCTCTGTGCCCACAGTCACCTGTTCTCCCTCCTGGTCCCTCTTGGAGCCGCTACCTGCTTGCCGCCCCCTGCTGCCCTCCCCGCTCAGATGTACCAGGCCCTGGGCTACCTGATGGTGGGCCCCTCCGCACCCTCCGCGGCCGCCTTGTCGTCCAGCCGGTGGGCACCGAGGAACTGGTTGAGGTCGCCGTTCTCCATGTAGTCGGTGATCATGCAGAGAGGGTCGTCCTGCACACACACGCCCAGGAGCCGGATGATGTTGGGGTCCTTGAGCCGAGACATGATCTTCACCTCCTTCAGGAAGTCGTTCCTGGAGCGCAGCAGGGAGCAGCGGGGGCGCGGGCTACACCTCCTCTTGTGCCTTGGAGCTCCGACACCCGCCCAGCACACCCAGCCTCCCTTCCGGGGCCACAGCCAGGCTCACCTGGCATTCTTGGTGGCATCTGGCCGTAGGATCTTGACTGCTACCAGCAAAGGCTGTCCCTTGCGCACGCTGCTGGGGAAGTCAAGACCAACCAGGTCCTGAGGGTCCTCTACCTCACAGAGGTGCACCTGTAGAAAGGCCACCTGCCAGGTCACAGGCCCAGTGGGTGCCGTGATGCTGGGGCGGGCTTCAGCCAAGGGGCGCCCTCCTCACCTCCCCAAACTGGCCCTCGCCCAGCTTCTCCTTGAAGCGGAGCCGAGACCGAGGAAAATCCACTCTGGGGGGCCCGTCTGCAGCCGCCCCTGGGGGCAGCGCAGGCACAGCGTAGGTGTTGCCCCCAGTGACGCCCTGCAGGGTGACAATGTCAGCCTCGGCATAGTGTGGCACGCTGCTGTGGGCAGGCGGGGGCAGGAGTGGGGCACCCGGCTTCTCAGGCTCCATGTAGTCTCCACTGCAGGCTGGAGAGGAGAGAAGACAGCAGGTGTCAGGCTGCGCCCTGGCTCTGGCTCTGCATGCTGACCTCCCACAGCTCCCAGCTAGCCGAGAGACCAGGTAGGTGCTGCCAGCTCCCCTCGTGCCACCACCCCCAGCAGCAAGCGAAGGCGCCAGCCTGAGAGGGCAGCTGTCCTGGAGATGCCCGAGTTGCGGCAGGGAATGGATGAGCAGAACAGCTGGAACATCAGACCTTGCGGGCTCTCCCAGCACAGCCAGGGTCTGACTGAAGGGGCTTCCTCAGCCCACACCCCCAAGAAGGGGGCGACCAGCCATGGCCTCATCCAGCCCTGGCCCATCCCCAGAACCCCCTGTCCTTTCTTCGTTTCCTGGCTTTCAGCCTGCCCCCTTCCTGCCGTGGTCACCAACCCGGCCCAACACACCAAGCTGAAGGACAGGAAGAGACAGAGCACACAGAGGGAAAGGGCAGCACATCCTCCAGCCCCATGACACGCGGTCCACAGACGGGGACAGAGCTGCCCGCTTGGCCCTGGGGAAGGGGCCACAGAGAGAGGTGACACAGAGGGGAGGAGCAGACAGGAGGGCGGGTAGGTGGGTGGGCGGGGGGCCTTCACCTCTGGGAGTGCAGAGAGGACACAGGGGGAGAGGGCGAGCGCCCAGGGTGAGGCCCTCCTCCTCGCAGCGCTAGAGAAAGCGGAGAATAAGGAGGCGTTACCAGGGGCAGGAGGGCGCTGCCCATAGCTCCTCTGGCTCTGGAGAGCTGCAGAGATGGGGCGGGAGGCGAGGAGGAGGAGGAGGAGGAGGAGGAGGAGGAGCGGAGCTGAGCCTTGGCCTCAGGGCTGGCTCACCAAGAGCCTTCAGGAGGAGCAGAAAGCAGCAGAGGTGAGCTAGGGCAAGGGACAGCCCTGCAGGAGCTCAGGAGAGCAGACGAGGCCACCGCAGGGGAGGAGTCATGGCCGAGGGCTTCTCGCGGCCCAGCAGGCACGGGCTGGCGGGCCAGGCAGAGGGGCTTACCCTGGGTGTTGGTGGGTTTGGCCCAGGCGGGTGTGGGGGGGCCCGGGCCTCGAGGGGGACGGGCGTAAGTGGCCAGAAGGAGGCGGTAGGCCGGATTGGAGAGCAGCAACGCTGTCGGGAGAAGGAGGGGGAGACACGGGGAAGGGTGAGCCTGAGGCTGGACAGGCAGGCAGGCAGGGACATCCAGAATTTGGCCGAGCGGGGCCCATGGAGTAGTGCACTGCGACGGAGACGGGGGAACAAGGACCTGGGGAGAGTGGTGGACAGACGGACAGACGGATGATGGGTGGGCAAGGAATACATGAATACTGATGGATGAGTGGGTAGGTGAGTACTGGTGGATGGACAGGTAGATGGATGGGTAGATGACAAATTGATGTGTCAGTATCAAAGGATGGATGGGTAGATGGATGACTTTTTTTTTCTTCTCTGTGGTACCAGGGATTAAACTCAGGATCTTGCAAGCCCTTGTTTTACAGATGGATGACTGACAGATGGATGGACAGTAGACAAATTGACCTGTGACTACCACTGGGTGAAAAGAATAGGGAGGAGAGTCAGCCCTGGGAGACACTGGAAGAGGGGGCAACTGAGAAGGTGGAGAGATGTATCTCTCCCAGGGCCAGAAAGATAAGGGTGTGGAGTATATGGGCTGTGGGGCACAAGGGTAAGACCCCCTGAGGATGATGGGCGACAGGAATCCTTGAGGACAGTGGCATGGTGGGGACATGGAATGAGGAGGGTGACCAAGGACACCAAAGGAAATGAGCTGAAAGTGGTAAAGACGGGAAGAGACTAGAAGAGAAGGACACGGAGCAAACCGGCAGAGGCTGGCACGGCTGGCGCCAGGCAGCGCTTACCGGAGCCGTGGGGGACGCAGGGCGCAGAGTGCGGCGGGTTCCCGCGCGGCCGCGGCTCCTGGTACGGCGGCGGCTCCCGGGGCCCGGGGCGGTTGTTGATGAGGATGGTGTCCCCGGGCACAGAGAGGTGGACGGTCAGCTCCTCCTCCAGCGCCCGGCGCTCCGCCTGGAGGGGGTGGCAGCGTGAGGCGCGTCCTCCCCGCCGCTCCCCGCTTCCCAGCAAAGGACCCGCCGCAGGGAGGTGGGCAGCGTCCTGGCGGGGCGCACACCCCGGCCCGAATCCGGCCGGCTGCTTGCAGCCTCAGCGGGCAGGGCGGCCAGAGCGCAGGGCGAGCAGCGCACTCACGAGGGGTGATAAAAATACAATGTGTTAAAAATGCCTGCAGTAAAGATGCCGCCATGAGTGCCTCGGAGCCCCCCGCTCGCTGCCAGCCGCCGCCCCGCGCGGTCGCTTCCGAGGTGGCTCCTAAGTCCTCTTTCTGAGCGCGTTCAGTTGCCCTGCTGTGGCTCCCTGATGTCTTAAGTCAGCTCCCGATGTTTCTCCCCAGGGTCATTTTGATTTTAAGGAGCAGCCCAAGTCCCCAGGCCCAGATCTGGTGCATCAGGTGGGTGAGGATGCCAGGAACTGTTCTGTGAGCCTGCCTTGCCACCAGATGGCGCTCAGCAGCACCGGCCCAATCCTTACAGCAACCTCATAAAGACACTCAGGAAAGAGGACTTTCAGAGCTGCTTCGGAAAGCAAGTGGGAGGCTGAGGCAGGAGGATCGCTGCGAGTTCATGGCCAGCCTGGTCTCCAAAGTGAGTTCAAGGTCAGCCTGGTCTCCAAAGTGAGTTCAAGGCCAGCCTGAGCTACAGTCTCAAAAAAAAAACCAAAACAGTACCAACAAAAACTGTGTTAGAGGAAGGGGAGCACTCCGAGGGGCGCTGGGCCTTTCACTGTAACACACTTAGAACTCCAGCGTCCACTGCATTTTCAGCCACCCCTCGTACCCTCAGCCCTCCCAGAGGGCAAGACTTGCACAGGCTGCCCCCAGTGCCCGTGCCCCAGGCCCCTCAGCGCTCTCTCTGCAGCAGGCCTTGCCACAAGCACGCAGCTTTCCCTGGGCAGGCCCCACGCCCACGCCCACGCCCACCTTGCTGAGCAGCCGGCGCCAGCGCAGCCGCCACAGCATCAGCGCGATGATGAGCAGCAGCAGCAGGATGATGGCCACCAGGCAGCCGATGAGGATGGCCGTCGGGCTGCCCTCCGCCTTGGCCACGGGCTGCTGGCCCCGGGGGTCCCGCTCTGCAGAGGCAGCGGGTCAGCACTGGGGCCAGCACCCACCCACAGGGCGGGCCCCTGGGGAGCGCTGGGCGGTACTCAGGGCTGTGGCTGCTCACCCAAGCTGCTGAAGTTGGTGGGAGGCGGGCCAGGCGGCCCCCAGGGCGCTGGTGGGAAGGTGCCCCCAGGAGCCGGAGAGGAATCATTCACCACATCTAGGGGGAGGGGAGGGGGTCAGAAGGGGAGGAACCAGGGGGCTGAGCAGGGTGGGGGCGGCGACATGGGCGGGGAGGAACCAGGGGGCTGAGCAG